GAGGAGGAGGACGATGCGGATGATGATGATGATGATGATGATGATGACGATGATGATGATTATTATTATTATTATTGTTATTTGGGAGACACTCGGGTCGTGGTAAATGAAATAAACCCGTCTGGAGCTTCATGTTAGTACTCGAAAGATGACACTAAATAAACGCAATTGTTCTGTATTGTTTGAATAATCAGTCCACCACCTCAAAAATTCTCAAGATTATAAACTTTTTTAGAACCGATAGATGACCCCTTAATCAAGCACACGATGCAAATACGACGTAATGTATCGTAAAATTAGTATGAAGCAGATTTTCTGTGCATCCTTCCAATAATATGTAATTGTATTTACAAAGGTATTGAGTATCAACAGACAAAGTGCGCACTGGTTAAGTAGTCAAATTTTGGCCAGGAGGATGTTTATTCGGGAACCAGCATTCTGAAGTGCGTGTTAATCAGTACTACAATTCCCCTTAAGCAAGCTTTTCCAACCAAAACGATACTTCAAAATTCCATTTCATGCTTCACGAGCTCTGCCAAACACAAAGAGCGAAAGTGCCATTAAGGTCACCTTGGGAGGGGGACATTGCAATCGGACCTTCAGTCATCAGTAGGATCGACTTACGGCACCAGTTGGAGACTTTCAAATCCATGACTTTCGGGAGACTGTGGTTTGGAAGGACACTTCACTTTCAGCCTCATTTGCTCTCCCCTCTTCCAGGCACCAGTGTCTGAGCCTGTTGACCGACCGGCGATTATGAGATTGAATACTGTGGTTGATGTGGAGTGAGGCCTTTGTCCAACGCGTATTATAGGCATGCGAGCCAATCGTTAAGGGCAGACTTGGAGCGCACCAACTAATGCATTAAAACAATGTGGTTCCATTCTTATCATACACAACAGCGGTGCTGACCATCCAGAGTGCCTGACGATGTGTGAACGGCGACTTTTGGGTCGGAGTTACTATGTCCCACTGTCCGTGTACGTTTCGCCCCCCCCCCGTGCTTAGGGCCATCTTCGGATCGTCCAATGCAGCCACGGACACGACCAGCGTGCCCTGCTGTGTCGTTTTATATGATAAGGGGTCTTCAGGCGTCACAACTTTGCATCCAGTCTGTGCGTTAGGACGAATACAGGAGGTGCGAGACGGCGGTTGGCGGTTGCCCAGACGTTTATTGCGTACGGCTGTAGTCCTTGACGCTTTCAGCAAGACCGACCAGAGCGCGCGGACCATGGCCGATCAGTCTTCAGAAAGCCTGGTTAAGTCGCGGTTCAATGGGCAACGGTCGCGGGGGGCGACTTGATGTTGGAATATTTTCTTGTGGCTCTTGGATTCGAAGGTTAATGCCCCCATAAATCCCTCCGCCACACCAGTTTAGGGTTCCAGGACTATGTCCGCGGCGGATGATGCCTTATCGGATGGCGGGGGAAGTTCACCACGTTGTAGTGCCAATATGGTTTGTGACCTTTTTATAGACAATCGATTTTTCAGATCATTGCCTGGTCAGCTGAATACCCAGTGACAGTTTATTCGTCAGGCACGAGGACCTGCTTACTTCGCGTCATTTGTGAGCACGCAGGCTTGTCAACATCTAGGTCAACAGGCAGGCTTGTGGCGGAAATGATGGTTGTTGTTGAACCTCGGAATTTAAATTATATTTGCTGCTCTCGCAGACAACTGGCCAATTGGCTGCCCACTTCTTCGGAATCGGGAGGTGAACTTATAGGGTCACTGGGATGGTCACTAAATACCGACATCTCCGTTGACGGGCTGCACCGATTATGACCTAAGCTAAAATGGAAGTAATATGTGTGTCAGGCTGCGCTAAATCTGTGTGAGTCCTTAAATATCTCGGCACACCTGAGTGCCGTGCGTGTTAGACAAATGCATCAGGCACCGAATAACGCTAGCTCTCAGATGGCGCCTCGTTCCACGGCACCCAGTCATATTTTTAGGTTCCAAGAGGTCAAAGTCCTCGCCAGAGGTGACAGCCGCGCGAGCTGTTTGAGTCATGCTCCTCGGGCCCACAATCCATCAACAACGCAATGCCCTCCCGTTACCATATTCGGTGCTGAGAGTTCCCCTGTACAGGGGAATCAGTCATGAGGGGGGAGGGGGTTGGACGGGCAGACAACAATCCTAGTGGCGACGAGCCAAATATCCGAGTAATCATCACGCCAACATCCAACATGGATGATGAAATAGCTGCAATTAGCGACCCGGACGCAGATTGAAGAGTCAGCATTGCATCAAGTACGACCCCCAGCGGTGATCGTTAGAGCTGTTAATCATAGTGTGCATGTGGTCCCACGGCTGCTATGTACTATAAATACTGCAGTCTTTGTGCTTTTCCTACCCTTATCTGAGACTGTCTCTGATGATGGGTTCGAATGAGAATCCGAAACGTCAAGCCAATAAACTTATTCCAGCGATCGTATCTTCTTCCTCTGAACTGGTTTCTGGAACTCGCCTGCTCGCTTCTACCGGCAATCCAATCTAATTTTTAGTCAGTTTAAACAGGAGAGGTCACTGGCACATGGAAATAAGAGGATATATATATATATATCTCAGCGAGGAGGGACGACAGGTAATGCGGGCGCATGATATAGGTAAATTGTTATTACCGACAAATCAAGGAACGATCGGTGAGCGCCCTTCTACCAATGTATATTCCCAATCGAAACCGACAGGATAACGGACCCGTGGCCCGGTGGTTAGAGGCGTTAGACTTCTAACTAACAGATCGCGAGTTGGAGCCTCGGGTGCTCCATAGTTCGGGGTTGGGTATGACTGGCTGACGATGGCTAATAAGCCAGAAATGGCCACTCCCGTTTCCCTCGTCTTTGTCGGTAATAACATTCTGCCCATATCATGCGCCGCTGTGCGGCTGCTGGTTGGGTTTGAGAGAGGGCCCGTAAGGCACAATGGGACGAGTGAGTTCCGTAAGAACGATCAGTGAGTCCTCCTCTACCATTATATATATGCGTAAAAATTCGAGGTCCAGATATCGTATCGCGTTCATCATTTCTCTAAGAAGACGGAAAAGAGAGGGCTAATTCACGGACCAAATTGTTCATGAACTGACGTCCCGGAAACTTCCTCCTTTCCATAATCACAGTAGTTTGCTTGTTGCTCCTATCAGTCTTCAGTTGTTCGGCCTCTCCGCTTGTGTCGTACTACAGCCGTGCTCGATGCACGAACTTTGACTTGCCTGTTTGCCGTTGACTGGCTTAAACCTCTCCGGCGCTGACCACTGACAGCCATGTGTGAATTTTGTTCCCTTTGGGACACTCGGAGTGCCTGTTGGCCTCGCCCACGTCAGTCGGCGGACTGATCGGTCGTTGCTGTTCATATGAGTAGCATTCAGCTTCGCGGACGCAATGGTGAGGCAGTGTTCGATTTTGGTCACGCGACCTCTGGCCCCCAAATTCACTCTTTTCCGTGAGCGCAGACTCTCGGTTCCGCGTGCACGCGGAGGCTTGTACGCAGTGTCTGGTAGGCAGGATGTACATCTATAGCTCGGGTCAGTGCGTCAGTCAAGGACTTTCTTGGGGGCACCGGTCTGGCCATCTTCTCCCTGGCTCAACCGATTACCCTCGTCTCCTCAAGGACGAAATTATGGTTCAGCTCTTGTAGGTGGCCATAGACCAAAACCAGCTTGTCCTTATGGCTGATCGTAAGTTGGCGTTCGTTCAATCTTGTACCGAGGCGTTTGCCCGTTTCACCAACATACCTCGTATTGCAATTTAGGCATGGTATGCTGTAGGCCACCGCTGATTGTTCTGTTATTGGTAGCGGGTCTTTGGGCCTCAAGATTTGCTGCCTGGTGGTGTATTCTGGTTAATGAGTTGCTCTTGACACAAATGTTCGCTGGAATTTCGGGTCTGACCCTAAAAACCACATCCCGGACACTTAACTTACTCTAATTCCTGTACTTAATAATTTATAAAATTATTACCTTTATTATTATCTGTAGCTCACATACCAGAAACGGCATAGAGAACGCTGAGGAGCCGAGTTCCTCACAGTTGTGTCGGGCAGCCGCAGACTATCGGCGAAACAAACGTGTGGCCTTTTAGCAATATAAACAATATAATGCATTAGTCACCAAAGGGCTCTGTAAGGACGCCCTCGCAGGCGACTATCGGCTGTGTGATCTCAAAACCATACGCAGGCAGTGCTTTTTATGATTTGTTTCGAGACAGACAATGTTTCGTAGCTTGGCTCAGTGCGAGGTACGAAACGAGGAGGCAAAATTCCCACAGCTCTGTACTTCTCGTTCGTGTCCTTCGTGGATCAGGGGGTGTGGTGGTACGCCTTTGTGTGGGTCCGTCCGTGCCAGCCACCTGCGTCCTCTCCCGCCTTCGGTCTTATTGGCTATGTCTTGACACCGGGCTCAGGCGGGGAGGAGTGTGTGCGTTAGATACTGTGCAAGTCCACTACCACTATAAACTAAGCCACGCACAAGCCACCCCGTCAACTGTCACCTCGCTGTGGGCATCGTCGACAACGACGGTTGAACTGTCATGTGGAAGATGAAAAGGGTGGTTCTTCTTGGAGGATTAACTGCACGACTTGCCGCAGGTAAGGAGTATTCAGTCGTCCAATAGTGGAAAACTGTAGCGGTAACAGACTTCTGCTGAACACTATCTCCTCACAGAAAACAAAATTTGTTGCCTCCCTAACCACAAACGCGCAACATAAAGGTGCCCACCTTCACTTTATCGGCTACATCTGGAGCGCGTAGACGTGAGGTAACAAAAACGCGGTGATCACGACAACGGCGGCGTGCAGCGCGGATTGACTAGAGCCTACTTATATCCATGACGAAATCGGGCAGGAAGGGCTCCAAATAGACTGAACGTATTTCTTTTGGAGAAGACCATTTTCGGTCAGATACATTTGAGGCTGGAATACAAACTATAATGACTGCACATCGATTGGAAGATGTGAGAAAACAGAACGCTACAGACACCGTCTGTAGCACTGTCATGGAGGTTCTAGAACCCGCGCGCCGACAAAATCCAGTCCGGTTTGAAAAGAACAGTGGGTGGATTCAGAATCGACTTTCCGGGGAGAAATTAACTTCACCAAGCCTACGAGTGAAGCAGAACCATTAAGAACAAAGTTGATTCGCCCCAGTGCGGTCACAAATGCGGTATGAACTTCGAAAGATGCAAAACACTTGGTTGAATCTTGAAGTAGAGTGAATCTGGAGGTAAGCTGATTTGAGAGAAGCAAATGATTCCTACGTGCCTGGGGCCGCCACGGTCCACAACCGTCCATATATTCAAACCTGCTTAATTTTTATGGCATAAAGTTGCAGTCAGAGAATTCCCAGACCCTGTGGCACTGACCTAAACACTTGCAGAACGTCCCCACCGACTCATCTCTAATCTGCGAGGAAGCAGTCTGTCGAGTTCAAGTTGGAGTCAAGATTGAACTTATACTACCCTGGGGGAGACGATCAGAGGAGTGGGATACCCTCGAAGGCAAATGTCCCAGGCGCAGACGCAATTTCCACTGACATTCACAAGCTCAGAGCGCCGCGAAGGCACTGGAAACTCGGAGTCACCTCCTTAATAGCAATTGGCAATTCAAAATTCCTCAGGACCACAAGTATGCCACTAACGCTCATTTCTACAGGCGGAAAAATAGCCAGGGAGATGGTATGGTGCAATTCTTGTCGATAGTTTCTCATCACGGACAAATAAGCAGGTATTTCAGAGGATTTTATTACGGTCAAGTGTGCGGACCAAGAAACAGTTATCTGCGTCTTTGGTATTTCGATCGTGAACTCATTTCTGCCTTATGAGGGTGAGCGGCATTGAATGAAGCACTTGTCAAGCTGGAAGTGGACGGATAAGAGCAAGGATGAGAACCAGCCACATAGTAAAACACATATGGTTGCCACTTCAAACCGCTGACTAGAGGTTGACTACTTTGGCCAATGAGACGCCCCTTGAAAGCTGCATATGATATAAAACGCATACCTGGAGCTGTGCTTCTGTTTTCTTTGGCTTTCCAGGGCAACAGAACATCGGAAGCGACGAAGGGAGTGCGAGGTTTCTGTATGGGAAGAGTCAGCCCTTCAAAAACAGGCTTCACGGTGTGGCCTGTGTCGGACTCCAACGAATTACCAGCACTTGTCTCCGTTGTTAACGGTTGGATTCTTTTCTTTTGAATATAAGCTGCCTTTTTGCCTTTCCAATCCTGTTTCTTCGCCCAGACCTCAAGTATGGAAAGTATATCTTGAAACTACTCATGTGTAAGTGAAGTTGGCCCGGAGGAATTAATTACGAAAAAAACTACCTACTTATTCACTAATAGTAACGTTTTATGTGTACATATTTGGACATGACGCACCAACCTGTATGAGACCTTGACCGCCAACGCGCAGCAGATCGGCCAGTTTGCGTATACCATCAACGCGGCGCTCCGGAGTTGATAGATGATGAAGCACAGCGATACAAATAAAAAAGTCCAAGATTCCGGACCGATAAGGTAGGGCGAGGAGGTTGGCGACGACGACATCAAAACCTCGAGCAATGGAAGGGCAAAGTGAGAGTCCTGAGGAAACATCAAGTTGGAACAGCAGGTTTGTCACAGTCTGGCATTCGCCGATCAATTTGAATCTTGGAACGGAACACGGAGGCGTCTTACTTCGTCGCGGGATTCATATAAGAGCTCCGCAGCAAAAGAGAGTGACTGTATTCCGCCCTGAAAGCAAGACACATGCCAGAACGACACTTCCATGTGACTGAACATTCCTGATCGCAGTGGACGGCGTGAGTTCGCGGCTCAATCGAGTAAGCACAGAGGGTTCGGGTTTGACTCGTGGCTGACTAACCACTGTAGGCAGGTCCGAAATAACTGATCTAGTTCCCCTGATATTTGCTGTTAACTTTTCTAGAAGCTCGGAAGACTGACTGGTGTATAATTTTTGCCTGCATGGTCGCTCGGCAGCTTAACAGGTCGTCGCCTGTCCGTTATTTTTGTCAGCACACTTGGCGCTTGTCTGTTTGGAAAATGTGCGATACAGATGGACGCGCGCCTATTCTCGCATTAATGAATACCCTACAAAGGCTGGCTTCTCTCTCTCTCTCTTTGGCAGCCTGCCTCTGATAGTGTGGCGTTTGCTCCAACAGACGCATTTAAAATTTGGGTTATAGGAATGATTTAGAGTAGTTCGCGTGTTGCTGGGAGGAAGTCGAAAAAATACCCCTAAAAATGGGATCGAAACCAGTCATGTCTCCTCAGCATGGAAAACGCCAGAGGACGAAAAAAGGGTCACATAGAGAACAGGAGTACTAGTACTATGAGATCATGGGAAAAAAGAATGCCAGCTGGATTCCGAAGACAATAAAAGAACGGAAGAAAGCACCTTATGGTGGAGACAGACCAATAGAAAAAGGGGTAATGACAGATTATGATCCTTTAAGTATTTTAATATCACAGAGACAGTGGTAAATACCTCGGCGACGAACGGTTCGAGCCAAGTTGACACTAGCGTCGGAAGCTAGCAACGGCAAAAGAGGGGTTCTCGCCTTGTGGAGAGCCAAAAGGTATTTGCCGTTTCCACAGCCCACATCCGCCCCCCAAGCACCTTCTGGCTGGGCTTCCAGAAAGCGCATTACTCCTGGCCAAGGGGCGTAGCGAGAGTCACTAAAGCTATCCGCAATTTTGTCGTAGACCTTGAAGGAGGAAACGGGACGTTTGGTGAATCAAGTCAGCGCCGTACGTACGTGGACAGCATTGTGAAGCTACGAAAGGTCAGAGTGTGACACCACGGTCTTGGCAAAAGGGAAAGACCCCGGAGAGAATGTAATCTTATTCTGTATGGATGACTGGCCGGGCCGAACCCTTAACCCTGATAAAATGAATTAAGTTATAGCTTAGTCAACTGGCAACTGTAAACTGCTCATAATCAATTTTATTGTGATAAAGATCTCAAAACTTCGAGATTACATCGAAACAAGATAAGTTTATATTTATGACACTAAGCAATAGGGCCTGCTTCTAACCTAGGAAGACAAGCTTGTATTTTGGCATTCCTGACGAAAGGACGAGCCACTGTAAACGCCGGAGACTACTTACCTCGTGGACGTAAAGGCGCTCCAACGCCGAGGCATCGAATGAACATGTCTCGGGATCCTAAAATAGTCGTAAAAAGATGATGTCATATGGTGTTGAAGGAAATTTAAATATTCTGAACTTTGACTAGGGTGATGAATACGTATAAGGCGCGTTTTTACCGGGGTTTTGTGCAGTGTCATTGAAATTGGTTTACTATAACGCAAAGAGAAATGATGATACATCGAAGGACGATGCTCAAAGAAGTGGCCGATAAGCCGTCACTAAAAAACACTGGCAGTGGCGGAGTAAATGAAACGTTTGAGAAGTTCGAAGCAGTGCAGGCGTACAGTCCTAGACCCATACGGCTGACAGTTCGACAGCTAAGGTGGTGGTGGTGGTGGTGGTGGTGGTGGTGGTGGTGGTGGTGGTGGTGCAATGCAGACAATTAATGTCTAAGCGAAATTCGGTTCCCTAACAAGGACTTTTGGGAAATCAGGAGCCAAGGAGTGCCCGCTTACTCCTCTCTCTGCTGTGCTTATCCGCCTGACCCAGGTAATAGATATGCGACTGTCTGGTCACAGCGTATTTATCAAACGCTGGTCGTGTGGGAAGCACACCATTGATTGCCAAGACCGACACAGTCAGTGTCTGTCGTTCCGGTATACACTCATATACTCGCTATCGACTAACGCACAAAAGTTCGTTGTGAAACGGCCTTTCTGTGGCCCAATAGAGGCAACCTGCATATAAATTAGTTTGGTGAGGCTGACTTGCACGGGATCTACCGCATTCTCTCCTGTCCCATCCGCCATTTCCCATTGAAAATACAAAGGCAAGACGAGAGCAGGTGGAGTGGGCGACACCCCCTTAAAGTGGAGATCTAACAATTCCACTCAGGCGTAACGAGGGAGATGACAACAGCAAATGCGGCCCCCTGGTAACCGGAAGAATCTTAAGATTTGTCTTATGGCACCGCAGTGACTGGATTAATTCATGAGCTCTATACTTGGGTGGTAAAGCTGGATAGGGGAGATAAAAAAGGGCTCGTCGGTTGAAATGACGATCTAACAAAGCACACCTTAAGCACTGGCAACATCTGAAATCACCAACTAATCCAACAGCCAAGGTAGATCTAGTGTGCTATGTATGTTTGTGATGTTATCGTGGGCTGAGCACTGGGGCCAGCGTACGCTCTCAAAATGAAATCAAAAATCCTAGAACTAGTGCTCGCTACCCTCCCCCTCTCCCTCCTACCTCCTTCCAACCACTTGTACCTCCGTGGGGGGAGGGGGGGTACCAATACGATAGCAAGGGACATGATGCTGATATTGGTGTGGGCACGGTCAAACACTCGCAACGGCGCGACCACCAATTTCACTATAGACCCCGTAGACTAGCATTCGCCTGCAAGATAACCTTTCTTAAGATGGGAAATGAGCTAGAAGGATCTACCAGACAGAAGTTGTATTATTATCGAATTCATTTGCTGATGCACTAGCGTTCACGTCCCCTTCAACTTCTCAAATTCCTCCCAAATTCTGCTAGATACTAGGCAGTGTTGCATCCTCTCACTCTTTTAAAAAGAACACCAGACGGTCCTAACGGGCGAATTCCCACCTAAATGTCGACTTACCGCCCCCATCCGTGCTGCAAACATTGGTCTCTTGAATAAACAAAGTCACCGAAAGCATCTTGTTTTCCCATTAAGGCTGCTAAAATGAAAGCGTCATCCGACTGCATTTCTAATGATGCGCTGGTAATCATCCTTCCTCGGTTCCAATAATAGGACGTCTTGGGACCAGGCCTCAGGAAATTGACGGGCTAGGGGACATGTGACTGTCTGAATAGATGCTTTTAATAGGATTTTATTAGCCGCAAAAGGTGTTTACGGGCACGCAGCCGTATTCGCCTCGGCCGTCCCCAGGAATTGCCTAACCGGCTCAATCGACGGCAAGGCATTCAAAAATGTCCCTTCAGTGTGCATTTCAGCTGTACTTTCCTACTTGTACTTCATAGAAACAGACAGACCTGGTCATCTGGTGAACTGTCCTCCCGTTCCTTGTCAGAGGTCGTGGATTTATGGCAGCAACACTGGTATCGCAAATTGGGGAGTGGAAAGTGTTTTTTGATTGTTCGAGCTATTCTTGCGATATTTTCATAACGAGTGGAGGAGGCCCCTCTAGCGTTGGATGCACCGCAGTCGTCCACTTTTCTCGGCCAATCACTATGGCCGCAGCATTAATTTTGAAAAGGGGTTGTAGCTGACCATCTGAATGATTTCTAAATTCGAGATAGATAGGAGCCGTCAACCGAATGTACAGTATTCTTCGCCTAGTTAAGTGCTCACGTTGGCGGATAAATCGCTCATTAGACGAAGTTGTTGAGGGAACCGCATTCGTTTTGATTGCCAAAATAGCCAAATGAAGCAGACAGTGGCCTTCCGTCACGCACGGCTGCGACTCGTTCAAAATCCGAGGTCATATTCCGACAATATCGGCTCCAGTCGGTTCTCACTGACTACGCAGTCTGTCATCACAAGGTTCTACATTTCTGAGCTCCGGTGATCAGGTGCGCAGTACTTCAAGGACTAGTGAAATTAATTGGACTAATACCACACCTTCTGAATTGTGTCTAAGTAAGTAACTATAAATTCGAGATGGCGGTCCTGGCAACGACTCGTCAATGAAAAATAGCTGAGCTGCGTGACCTTGCAACATGAGAGCAGCAACTGGCTCGCTGCATAAAAGTTTATGGAGGACTAGATTTCTAGGCCAAATGCTTTTAGCGGTCGTAACCTGGCACTAACCAGCTAATCTGCCCCGGCAAGCAGTCGCGGAAATTCGACGACACACTTAGCTGGTATCTGCTTTAGAATGCGGTGAAGCCCTCCTCTGCGTTTGAAAGACCATGATTACCTTTTGCATAATGGAACATTGGCATCGGAAAGTTAGATGTCCTCAGCTGAGTGCATGAAAAATGCCACTGGTCTGACTGGGTGAGAGGCAGTTTTGGCTGTGAAGTTTCCTACTGGATGGCGAGCTAGACACGGCGTAGAAACGCTGGACAAACTGAGCTATCCCGGTCCCGCCCGGGCCTGTCAGATCTCTTCAAGACGAGGAATTACGACGAAAAATTCCAGTAATTACCTTACAATGCACCATCAGGCATCGTAAGGTTAACGGACTAAGCCTTTGAGTTCTTTAAAGTGGCTGAAGATGCGTAGGTTAGCCTGCGAGTCACTGTATTAGGAGAAACCCATAAGTAGTTATTGCTCGTCTACTAGAAACTATTCGGAATGATCTCGGCAGACAAAACCATACAAATTTACGAGAAGAAGAGCCATCAGAAATATGGATGTCATAAACATGTATTTACTGAGTAGAAAATAAAGACGGGATAGCATAACAGAGAAGGGTCCGTCTGTAGGCGAAATTACTCGTGGTCTGACAGACAACATAGCGAGTTGCGTATAACAGACAGCAACTACTGGGAAGATGTCACCATGTGTAAGGCTGGTAGATCTAAAAGGAGGTACCTGGTGGTGTAGAGCTACCAGTTAATACAACGGTTACGAGGTAATGGCCACAAACGTTGACGTATGATCATCTGCAAAGACTAGTCGGACCGACGGGACCCAAGGCCGGTATAATTATCAGGAATAAGACTAGGCTTGAATACTGACATGCTCGATGAGTGTTCCTCCATCGTAGCTTCAGGCGTTTTAGTGGCCACCTTCCTGGCGCACCGGACAGGTACGAGATAGGAATACGAAAAGTACTGGGGCTGACTCATAACCTAGCCTTTGCACATCCCAGGTCAATATGCGAACATCAAAGAATAATTAGGTCGCCCGATTTGCCTGCGGCTGGTAGAACGATACAAAACATTGCACCGAAACAAACCCTGGTAAAGTATGATAAGCTGGATAATAAAAGCAGCCTAGCTGGTCTTCCTCGGGCTCACAAAGCGTCGGATTTTTGACGATAGGAGAGAAGTATTGACACACAGAACGACACTTCGTGAAAAATAGGACAAGAACGTTGGGGTTGGAAAGCAACTGATAGATCCCATTTAGTCGCGACACTTTGACATCGAAGAGATGGGACTCCGCTGGTCGGTGAGGTCCGGAGAGGACGAGTCCACGTCCAAGGAATATCCTTTAGTCTCAGTCGGACAAATTGACTAGCTATGACGATACGGTTGTTGGGTGCATCGATTGAAGATTTGCCCTCTGATCCCCGAGTACGATGACTGATCATCTGCCATATGGGCCCGACCGGTTATTGGGTTGACGTAGTCGAAGAGAAAGTCGGTGTAAGTGACCCCATCACCTCAATAAAGATTACCGTCAATGTCATCGTACAGATATACCGCGGCGAAGCAGCCGACAAAAACAGTCTTAACTACGAGATATTCTTCGTAATGCATGGTGGTCGGCGGATTAGCCCCTGCACGCCTTGTGGGTTTACAGCTATTTGCGACGAACTGCAACCTATGAGCCCTAAACCCTTATAAAAATACTAAAAATGATAAATTAATTGGAACATCCGTGCTGTGCCAACACATGGCCTCGTCATTATGCGGGGCTAGGCCTTGTGTAAATATTTACACATATAAATGTACATTTACACGGCAAAACGTCTATTAAATTGTAGGGAAGTTTTCTTCCCAGACCGTCTCCCAACCAATCACAGGGTTGGATACTAATGTGTTGACTTGTTTGACTGGCGAGGCCCAAAAAGTACGGCCGAGAATCAGCCGTGACGCACTAACGCCGGTCTTCTACCAGACTGAGCCTCCCGTAGCCTTCCCCTTTGTACAGAATATCGCCTATTAGAAGCTGCACGAAGGTCAATCGTACTAAGCTTCAGATTTTTCTCATATCAACGTCCATTTTTACTTCAGGATCGACCCTCACTCTGCTGAGGCTTTATGTACTCGCATCGCATGCGGCCAGCGTAGCACACCATGCGCCTCTTAACGCAACTGCACAACCAAACAACTGAAATATGACACTACAATAAAAGACTTGAAGTAAAGTGGAACAATAACGCAGTCTCCGAGATACCCATATGGTCTGAGGAAACAGTGAAATATCGGCAAATGGACAGTTCCACAAAGATGTAGTAATGCTACGTCTATCACTGCTTATCGTTATGCGTCCGATTCTCTCAGTAGGTCTGCTCGCCGACATATAATATTACTGTAGTGTTTAATAATCGCCCGTCCACCAGGTTCTATTTCGCAGTTTATTGAAAACCAAAAATCTGCGCCGTTGTTCTTGTATCTCATCTTCGCTTTTCTCATTTTTGTCTCCTCATCGATGGCTCTCTCCGAATCATTTACGACTTTATGCGTTATTTTATTTTTATAGAGATTAATTATGTTTTAGCAGTGCTTTCATCGTGCATTCACTTCCATTCGGTAGTTTCCATATATTCCTAGGGGTAAAAAGATGGCTTTTTGTTCTTCCTCCGACACTTTTAACTTGCCGATGTTTTAACTTAAACATTTTGTTGATCTCTTACTTCCCTTCGCAGATTTCTCCGTAAGGCGATAACCCATGCAGCTCTGTCGTTTTACGGTGTGTGTGTGGTGCAGCTTTCTGGACTGACTTCTAAAGACTGTGCCTATTAAAAACATAAGCATTCATCTCTACACAAGAAGGCATTCGACAACGTCCCACACAAACGCCTAATCTACAAACTCTTTGATGTCAGAATGAGAGGAAAGCTGCTGACATGGATAACAGATTTTCTCACAGGGAATCACAAACCGTGTGCATTGGCACCTCGATGTCGACTCCCACCCCCGTTCTAAGTGGTGTCTCCAGGGCTCTTGCAATTCCTACTTTACATTAACGACTGCGTCGACGACCTGGGCTGCAACGCCGTCATTTTTGCTGGCGAAGTTAAGCTGTGAAGAGCCATCAGGTCTGGCGCAGACAGGTACCCGCTTCAAGACAGTCTCAACCGTCTGAGCAGTTGGTCATCTCTTCGGCTCCTCAACTTTAATGCGGACATATGTGTGGTCCGGAGACTCCGTACCAGGAGGAGCAGCAAGGTGGACGATTCTCTTCAATACGTCCTTGGCAGGCAGTCCCTTTCAATGTTATGGAATAGAAAGACCTTGGCGTCCACATGACCTCCTCGCTGAAACCATCATCACAGTGTCAAAGGGCAGACAAACGTGCGATACAGGTGTTATCTGCGCTGAGGCGAGGATTTGTGCAGATCGATAAATAACTGTTCCGAAAAACCTACGGGACATTCGTTCGGCCTCACTTAGAGTATGCAGTCCAGGCCTCGCGACCGCGGTTTAAAAAGGGTTACCAACAACTGGAAAGAGTACAGGCGATGGCTACGAAAATGGTCAAGAATCTTGATCATCTGCCTTACGAAACCCAGCTGACCGAACTGAATCTATTTTCTCTCAATTTCGGGCAACTGGCGGCGATCTCATTGTAGCCTACACGATTGTCAGAGACCGCAAATGCGCTCTAAACTTTGAAGAATTCCTCGAATTTGCTGGGACTGACCGTTTGTGTGGTCATCCCCTAAATGGCAGAGGAAGCTGGCCGTTACGCACGTCCGACGGAAAGCCTTCTCGCAGAGGGTCATTGGAGCATGGAATTGACTCCCTGATGCGGTGGTTCTTTTCGAAGCTGTTGAATTCTTTAAGTGTAGACTAGACGCTCATTTGCTGTGGAACTACCGTACATATAATCACTATTGTTTTAGCAGCTCTAGTTTGTGGCTGGCTCACACTTAAAATTAACTTTTGAATTTTCAGATTTTCTGAAGTAACAATTGATCTTATTACTGTTTATCGGTGTGAATTGGGGGCTCACGGACGAAAGCCTCATTCCCTTAATAAACTGACTGAAGCCGATGACTACGCTGCTGATACTAGGATGTCGTGTTGTGCATTAAATAGAAGGAGATAAAAGTGTTACTACCAATGAATTGTGCGTGGCAAGGGTAATATGTGGAAAAGTAGTCCTTTGTTACAATGTTCTCTCAACTGTTTATCGAAATACGACTGTCACAGGCGACGACATCAACCGCGTGCACTACGGTGTGAACTCAGCATCCCTGACTTACGCTCGAATTAGTTTTGACGTAGATGTATGCAATATCTGCCACGCGTTTTCTCTCTCCTGCTTCTCCCATTATGTTCCAATGATTAAAATGCCAAGCCAGGCGGGATTGTGAACGTCGCAGAGTCTAACAGAACTAAACCACCAGTCTACGTATGCCAAAGACAGCTTGATCGCACTTCATCCGTTAGAATTCTTACAGGACCGTCCAGAGCGCACATACCTTAGGGTACTATAGAAGTCACATTGAGAAGGAGTCACTGCAGTCATACTCGGTCCTGAGAACGATAAGGTTATCTCGTCAGTTGGTAGTCTTCCTTACCACGACCTTTGGCGCGTCGTGATGCATTCGAGCATCCCAGATTTGTCATGGTGATGAATGTGCTGATGTACCACGAGGATGGGGACCGCAACGTCTGCCACATTCTCTTTTCTATCTCATGCCATAGTCGACCGTTTAAGTCTGTCAATCGATTGGTGATGGTAGGATTGGACGCAGTGGATGATGTGATGTGAGGGTACACGTCAAAGGTGCGTAACACACAGCATGTACCGAGGTATTTGTGGGCCTTGATTCATTTTATTTAGAGAGTAAAGCTTTCGCTATCGAAATGAAAATGCGAACCACAATGCAGCCACATCCCCCGTCACTTCGAAATTAAAATTCATGTATCCCGACGGGCAGATTTTGTTATCAAAGTTTGACGAGCTGTAGATCCACCTCTCTGATCTATCCATTGACGCAATCACTTTAACAGAAGCCTGGTTGACCCAACGCGTGGACGACCGCGAGTCAACCACGCCTGTCTATCAGCTTCCTAGAAGCGACAGGGAAGGGCGTCAGGGAGGATGAGTACTAGTATATATGAAATATAATCTAATGGTATCAGGCAAAACCGATCATTTTCCATGTACTTTCGAGGTAATCCGGCTGTTTATTCGAGTGCCGAGTCCACTGAGCCTCGGTGTCATGACAGTCTATCGAACGACGAGAACGAAACACATTTCCGACGCTCGCATGCTGGATGATTTTTAAACGTTTGCTTAACGGCCGGATATCCTGATCATGGGTGACGTTAACGCACCTCACATCGACTGGATCTCGGGCCACTCAAACAGCTCAGAGCATAGCTTCGGTTGCATCCTTGTGAATACGACTCTGAAGTTATTTCTCCCACAACACGTCACGTTTCCAATAGAGTGAGCGAAGGGAAACGGGCCAACTGCCTCGATCTTGTCCTTACGAAATCACAGGACAGCATGTATGAGGTGTCATGCCTACCCCCTCCCGTTATACTACGGGATTACTCGCCCTTTTTCACGGCTCGATGACCCATGACAGTTGCGAGAAACATTTGGCGTGGGAATTTCGACGAAATGACGGCTGAAATTACACGCACTGAGTGGGAATCCGTATTTGCTGGAAATGTACTCGAAGACCAGCAACAGTTCCGAGATTTACTGCACAGGCTCATCGCAAACCACTGTCTGCTTTCACTAAAGAGGTTAAAAAACACACATCGATGATTTACGTCACGAACCGGAGTGTTGCGACACTGGCATCATACCTTGTTATTTATTACGTACATATATGTATCGGATTTTTGGATGCCACAAAGAGTTCTGCAGTATGCTTGGCTCATATTTGCTCACGTTCATGCACATCCCGCTGCAGTTTGTATTAATGTAAGCGTTCGATACTTCGTTTTGTTCAAAACATTTCTACATCTTATTTATTACCTTAAGGGAGATTTAAAGTCTCCGTTTATCCACGGCCACGGCTGTCCGTTTGCTTTCTTCTGAGTGGGCGAGTTGGATCCTCGATTCTTCTAATCAACGAACTTAAAGTGCTCAGGTATTCGTCAGCCTTACTATGCAATGCGGTTGGACACTATATTGCTGAGACTTGTGTTTGCATGTTGAAAAGACCTCCCTTCAGGATGTTTTTTTTTCAATTGTTTAGTTAAGTCAGGCAGGAAAAACGTGGAATACTCGAAGAGCAGTGCTGTATACTCATACGCACCCACCGGAGGGAGACCTTGTAGGTCTAGCCCACTCTCCATATCTCGAGTGTGAACCAGATCTAAGTATTTGAATTTTACCTTTCCCTAATTTGTGTTCCAAGGGTTGCTTTCTGGCAAACTAGTTCTCGGCTTCCATTCGAAGTAAATGATGACCGCGCGCGTCCCGTGGACCCAAAACTGTCCAATCTTTCCTTTCGATATTGGCTGCGTTAAAGACCCCAGCAACAAGGACATCTTTGTTCAAGCAAGTCTTGTTGAGTTCCGTTAGGAGAAGGCCATCGCCTTCTGAAATCTGGTCTGGGGGACGGCGGGAAAATGTAAATGTCAGTAGCCGAGACTACTTAGTAGAGATAAAGGTGAAAATTCCACTTCACCTGCCGTACGATGTAGCTCGGGGACCACGGTTAAACTGCAGCTGAAATAGACACCGACTCCGGGTTTCTCTCAAGACCATGGTATCTGATGCATGCTCGTAAACCAAAGGCCCGAGTCCATTTACTTTATTAGGAAGACTCCATACATATGAGTTTAGCACCTTTATTGACTGTTTTTTCGGTGGGGACCAACCCTGGTTATAAAATACGTCACCCACAGGGACGATCGTTTGATCTGTATTATCTCCTCTTCCCTTATTTTTGGCCGCTTTGCCCCTCTTCCGCGTTCATATTCAGCCATGTTTAGAGTTCTCTCGTGTTATGTCTTTCCGTCGGTCTGCAGTTAGGCTAAAAACATCCTTCTGCGTGCATAACAAAGAACCGTTCATCCTTCTAGAGGTGTGGAGCCTAGACATCATTTTCAAGAAGGATTTTAAGAGGCCCTAGTGATGAAACCCCACGTGATGCATCTGCGTTTCCTAGAGAGAAAGCTTTGTGCACCATCACATGTTAACCATCCCGAAGGACGGCATTTGAATATGCTTAAAGAAGGTTGAGGTCGTGCTTGACCGTCTCCTAATCAGTCGAGGAAATGGACACGGAAGCACCGTATGTGACGATATCTCGTTTTCGGTAAATATGTCTGATTGGTGCTTTGAGAGTCTAGTTTTCTGATGGAACCTCGACATTAGAAATAATAACATTCTAGCCAGCTATGTTGTTCGCGTCAGTACCAAAGCCACTTCATACAGTTAACGCCGAACCGCTTTTGGACTTCGTCTCTTTGTCTGTCATGAGCTCGTGTATCACAAACATCGGATTCAGTCCGAATGTCCGTCGTGAAGAATGAGCTTCGCTGCAAGTTAGATGTCAGTTTTCGTGCAAAATTCTGGAGTTTATTTGACCCCTTCTGCCTCGGTTCTTCGAATCCGGCACAGGCTTTGTCCTTGCCATCTAGTGAAGCATCCAACAACGATGCAGAGTTTGGCTGTGTACTCAGACTAAAGTGCGGTTCTGCTCATAAACTAAAATCTCATTGGCATCTTTGACCATAACGCAACTAGTTGGCCTCATCTAGGGTAGACCATTCACATGGTTTAGAAAGCGCAACGGGTCCAGCAATGCTTCCCAAGTAACCATTGATAAGGCTGGCACAATCATAAGACACGATAGTCCTTCGAGGAAGCCATGCAGGCTAGAGCGTTATAAGCCTGCAGTCTTCCGTCACTTTCGCACGTTTTGTCAATGCAAGCGCTTACCGGTCAAAAGTTTCCAGCGGATCCTTCAGTTTTGGCACTAACGCTCCCGTCGTAAATTTTTAGCCGTTGCTGATTTCTAGTCCGCGAACGTGTGCATGTTGCGTACTAAAATGTTTAGATTTGGTTTCATACCCGTGCAAATTATTTTGGGAAATCACCATAATATTCGGTGGTTTCAGACTTCCAGAGGATCATTTCATTAATCTGGAATTTTGTTTATGTGCACTAACGGTTTGCAGTATGCTCAAAAAGGTTAGGATGTCTCACCTTTCTCAAAGGGCCTTACCGGTCTCCGCAGTCGACCATGAATGCTGTGCGCCAAGTAATCTGTTCGGCACTCGCACCTAAGGCTATTGGACCTTACAGGTTTTTTGAAACTTTGCTAATATTTGCAGTCAGGCCATACGTGTCGACAAGACGGTGTACATATCAGGTCAACTCGGGTTGAATCCTGAAACAATGAACCTTGCTGGAGATACGGTTGAACAGCAAGCTGAACAAGCTCTAAAAAATCTCATGAACATAATCAAGGAAGCTGGCGGCGATAGCAAGCACGTCGTAAAGACGACCGTACTGCTGGCTTCCATGGACGACTTTCCCAAGGTCAACGAGATTTATGCCAAATGTACGTTTAAGCTGTGAACGAATCCGGTTTTTTAGATTTCTCCGAACCATATCCTGCAAGGATGTGTTTTGCGGTTAAGACTCTTCCAAAGGTAAGTCTTGTTCATACTTACTGAGTGCGCCTAGAACGCTCTTGTAGAGCTTGACGCCGTCGCTGTCCTGGATTCTTGATTTAAAAAGGCAGTTCTTTGCACGGCGGATAATCAGTCCTTTTATTTGTACATTAGCTAATAAATACTACGCCGCCACTTCCCTTCTTTGTTCTGTCGTCTTCTCGATCAATTATTACGTCCTCTGTTAGATCTAAGAATGAATGCCCCCCGGGGCTCTAAAGACTCCACTTCTACCGGGCGGTGGAGGCTTCTAGCAAATTACATCAAGGGAAATAGTTCGCAATCAGCTGGATTACCGTCGACCGACGTTTATCGGCTTTTCGTTTTAAAATGCGTTTCCTCAAAGGTAAAGATAAATTCACCGGGAACATAGTTTCAGAAAACACCTATCCTTTATTTTAGATCTGCCTTCATTTTTGTGCTCATCCCTTTTTTTACTATAAACGACCGTTTCAAAAGATAAGGGGGTTATGCGAAATGTACTGTATGAACTTTCAGAACACTCGTACTTCCGAATGTCGCCCTATTGATGTAGGACGTTTTTACGCATCGTTGGTCTGAACAAATAAATAGTATTTCCAGCGAGTCTGCGAATCATTATCACTCGAGAAAGTTAAAAAGACGGCTGCAAATCGTTTGCAGAGTTGTGCTTTCATTATGTTTGCTGACTGGCCTCTACTGGCTGACGAACTCCACATAATTTGCATTTATTCTCCGCTGTCTAATGCATACGGTCCTACTGACTTGCTAGTGCTGGCCAAATCTCCGACATACCAAATTTGGATTGTTAACTAGCGGCATCTAGCGCCAAACAGACTCGGGTATACCGTTTTTAGGCCAAAGGTGGCTAAAGTGAGTCGAACCGAAAATCGCATACTTTTAGGCAGGAAAACACCTCATAAACTTGCCACTGTACATAGACTGGGTTTGCGTGTTTGACCTAATCTCCCCGAAAACCGCCCTCATTTAGGGTGCCAAACAGATAGCACGTCTGAATGCGGCGCCGGGGTGCGTCAATAGGCGCCATTTGCATTTTTTACCTGTTGGAATACTGATCAGGCACGTCCACGCAGGCAGCGTCCGTGAACCCTTATGCCGATTGGCTTTATCCCCCCATTCGCAGTTACCCTGAGAGCATTTAGTCGCCCAGGGCTAGACATTTGCTAGACCGTTTGACATGCGAGCTAGTTTAGGGCTAGTAATCTGACTGGCTGGTAGTGCTTGATCTGTGTGAGGAAAGGAGCTTTTCTGCTACGCCACCTTGATGCTCACCTGAGTGCGTTTTTCACGTCACGCCTGGGGTCCCTTTGCGTGTACGCACGCATTCAGGGTGCACGCACGCACTTTGCCCGGAATTTAGGCTCCTGTATGTCGACTTAAATCGCCCGGGGCTACAACCCCTCAACTCGCCCGAGAAGCCGCGTCAACCTACTGCCCTGTGTGGACAGTGTCCGCTAGCATTGTTGAGGAAATCCAGTCAATCGCATCACTAGCGCGCGACCGGTCTTGCCTTGGGCGAGTAGAATGCTATCAGGCTAGTCGACTAACTGGGTGACATAGTGTTCTGCGAAAGAAAGCTTCATATTTAGTATAATGGAAACCGTGCTTGAGGTTGGAGATCTTTTAAAGTCCTGGGGAACCCCAATCACCCGACCTGTTCTACTGAGTTTCTCTGCTAATTTTGCCTAATAGGTAATTCTTATAATGATCTTTTCCGGCCATTAGAAGTTTTTCATGGTTTGGTGTTACTGAAGTACCGAACTTCAATGAGCCTGTGGGAAATATGCTCGCGCAATTTTGAATCGACCTATGCACAGTTGTGCAATTTTTCATCCTTCATCCGTGAAGAGCCGTGTAGATAGTTTACGGTAAACATTTTGTGCGGATTACTTGATTAAGGACCTTTCTTACTCGGTCACAAATCTTCCATTAGGTATTGTGTCCATCGTGGCCACCATCGTACCTTAGGCCTTACTTTTCTAATTAGGCATTTGGTAGCCGTACAGCCTTGGGAAAATTCAAATCGTGAATTACGGGAAGATAAAAAACCGAAGTGTACTTCCTTCGTTTTTATAAGGCTCCGCTTGGCTTGTTTTGGATAATAAGCGGAATGCTAGATGGTTTTCTATTAATTCTCTACACCACATTAGTGTGAAACTTACCACACAGAGAATGAACAAAAGCCCGCCGTCTGACAGTCTCACTTGTTCGATGCCCTTCTTTAGTTCAATGATGATTGTAGACGGCAGTGCCTCGAATTGCGTTTTCTCGAACTGTCTGAAAATGGAGCTCTTTCGCCTGCGCCTCCCCTTCTCATTCTGCCGGCTCCCACATTCGCAGTTGGGGAGAACGGCGACCAAAGCTGCCTTTCCGAACGCCTGCGCCGTTTGGTTGGCTTCGACAGCACTGGTCTTGTCTGCCTCTGGCCCTCCGAACTGCTCATGGCGCACATATTTCTCAGTCCGGTAGCTGTGTATGCTCGTCTATGGGATGCCATTGCTACCGCCACTAGCCGACGTACTTGGCAACGCGTTTGCGAACTTGGAGCCGGCATGACAGCTGCGGCTGGTCTTGCTATTGCCAGACGCAGAAGTACTTTCCCCCGATCAGACGACCCCTTCTCTGGCCTCGAACTTCTTGTCCTCACTGACGGTAATGAGGACTGTGTTGCAACAATTCAGCAATCGGTTCAACTTCAAGGGTTTTCTAAAGGCCAGACAGAGTCGCCGACGCTGGAAGTCGAGAAACTTCGGTGGCCGTCCTCTGAGGCGAGGTAATTCAAGTAATTCTTTGCTGGTTATTGTTCTGTGCTGGACGCGGCATCGAAGATTTTCTTAGCATGCGCACGCATTCCGCCGTCCAGATCGTGAAAGTTATGACCTCGACCTTACCCGATTGAGTTCCATCCTTTGAATGTCTGGAAATATCCATAATACTGAAAGCGTGACGGCTTGAACCACAGTCTGAACACTACTAGACATTGCCAGACCTCGGTCTGGAGATATAGGACGGGTCTTTGTAGGCGTATTAGCTTGAGAAACAATACCCCTCGACCTAATTTACTGCTTAGCTTACATAGTTCTTACTGTGGAATACTGAAGAACAGTGCCCAGTCATGCTGAAACCCCAAATGCCATCATCCCCAACGTTCGCTTTCACCAGAGCACCATCTTGTGCTAGTTTGACTGCATGACTGGGGCTGTCCTTCCGTGGTGTATTTTTTTAGGGTCTGAAACCTCCCGTTGACTGAGTAAACATTTTATTTTGACAGTGCAATCTACACCCTCACTTTTCACCCCCTCCCCTTCCCCTACAACCGTAGCAGACAGACTCATATGTGTAGGTTGCTTTATATGCCTGACAGCCTTGTCTTCTGTGTCTGATGCTAAATCAAAAACACGCCCGGGGTCGGTCGCCGATGGGTTAGAATTACAAGGCAGGAGAGGACGATTGCCAACGGTTCAGCTGATGAGGCACTGATAAACTTCGATCGAAAGAACTCTTTAGGAACACTCGGATAGACCCGTCCGTGGACTATCTGCGCTGCCTTTCTGCTTCCGGTCTCAGGTGGTATGTAGGGCTATGATTGTCTGAATGAAAGGAGAGAAGGCCCGAAAAAGTCCTATATCAAACTACACATATCTCTGACGTCATCCCACCCCCTGATATACATGTACACATATATGGTGGAGGGGCGCGCACCGATCACGTTACGGAGCTCACTCGTGCCGTTGTGCCTTAGGGCTCATTCTCGAGCCTGTCATGTATATCCAACCAGCAGCCGCACAGCGGCGCGAAGTATGGGCAGAATAACATTACCGACAAAGACAAGGGATGACCCAGAAATGCTTTACAGTTTTACTAACCCAACCCTACCACGGAACTAGTTTACGATCGAAAAAGAGCTTGACGACAAACCTTGCATTGACATCCTCGTACAGCGAAAGACTGACACGACACTTCACACATCAGTTTACTGCAAAGAAACGTATGTAAAAGTTGTTCTTTATAAGAAGAGCAATGACCCTATTGCTCTCAAACGGAGTGCTGTTACCAGCCTACTTAATCGAGCAAAAACACCCTGCCCAGACAGCAATAGTTGCCAGATAGAACCTAATTATTTGTTCAAACTCCTTTCCCAAGATGCGTATCTTAGAGATTTTGCATGCCAGTGCATGAGACAAGAGGAATCAAAAAAGCAAAGACAAAGAACTAAATTGTTTCGATCAAGGTGAACTTTTCTGTACATTAAACATGTGTCCGAGCTCGTTGAAAGACACCTGAGGAAACATCAATTACAAGTGACGCACCAACTGATTATCACATAACGAAACCAATTGGTGCACCCTAAGGATAGAGTTCGCTTTTTAGATGAGAAAGAGGTCGTCTGCAAGATTTCTTGTGACACCTGGAATGCAATGCACCGTGGTTAAACTGGAAAGTCAGCCTCCGCACGCATACACGAACACCAGCTTACCGTGAAGAGATGGAACCACTTGTTCCAAGTTGCCACGCATACCCCGGAGACTGGCTATAAATTCGCTTGGGGCACAACACGTATTTTGTTGTCTGTCCATCTGTCGTTGTTGCCTCCAAGCAACCGTGCTCTTCGACCTCCCTTTCGTCAGACTGGTCAACCGTTGCTACTCAGGCATGGTGTTTTCGGTCTCGCTGGCACGTCCGTGAGATAGTGTGCCACGTCGGCCACGTGACTCTCGCCCGGCGCCTTCCTTTTTCTCCGCGAGCGTTGGCAGTCGGCTCCGTGTGATTTCTTTCACCCGTCTTTTTGCTCCTGTCTGGGCTGACTACATACCATGCCAAATTGTGATGCGAGATATGTTGGTGAAACGGGCAAACGCCTCGACACGAGATTGCACGAGAACCAGCTCGCAATCAACCGCAAGGATAAGCTGTCGCTGGTCTATGGCCACACAACAGCAGAATCACAGTTTCGCCTTTGAGAAAGCGAGGGTTATCGGCGGAGTCAATGATAAGGCGGCCAGACTGATGCTGGAAAGTTTTTCCTCGACTGGCTCACTTAATCCAGCTATAGACTCACATTCTGCCTACCAGATGCTCTGCACAAGGGTCGAGTCAGTACAGGCAGAGCTAATAGGGCGGATGAAGAAAGTCACTCGGGGCCGACATCCGGCGCTCGCGGAGAAGCGCCGACCGGAGGTCACGTGACCGGCGTGGCACAATGTCTCACCAGCGTACCCGCGAGGCCGAAAACACCACACCTGAGCAACAATGGTTGACTATTCTGCTGTCTGACGAGAGGGAGGCCAACAGGCACGCTGACTTAGCAGCAACCACGGCAGCCTCGAAAGGGACGCTAGTCCGCCATTGGTCGAAATCCGACAGGCTAGAACCAGCCAACAGGCCGGCCAACGTACGTGCGCGAGCGCGGTTATAATACGAAGCTGAGCACATCAAGGCCAGCAGAGGAAGCCAGCGAATGACTCCGATGATAGAAACGAGGGAGTTTTAAAAACGCCAGTGCGAGTAAAACCAAGTCCATGAAATCGCCTTTTCTTCTTCGGCCACCAGGCCAGGAATGGCCATTTCAGTTGCCGTAGTCTTGGTTGGTAATGCCATTTTGCCAAAATATTAGCGGACGAGTCGCTGCTGGCTGGACTTGAGATTGAGTCCCAAGGGATAATGAAACGAGTGGGTCCCGTTACGCGACCGGTGAGCACTCCCTCTGTCATTGTTTATGTATTTGAACGCAACCGACAGGACCGTAAGCCAATGATTAGGGCGTTGGACTTCTAACCAGCAGGCCACGGGTTCGGGTCTTGGGAATTGCAGACCTCGGGGTTGGGTACGACTGGCTGATGACGACCGTCAGGCCAGGATCGGCCGTTTCGGTCTCCCTAGTGGTTTTCGGTAATGTCATTCTGCCTGCGATGCAGTGTATTGTATTGTGCCTCTACACACATCCATAAACATCAGACGGTAATTATGAGGCGATATCGTCTGTCTCAAATGGTCATGCACACCCTTGATACCGGCCACACCTTCGCATGGGATAAAACTCGCATTGTCGGAGTTTGCTCCTCAAGAGTTGTAGCCACGCACTCCGACAAGTCATGCATTAATCGGCACATTGAATTGGATGCCGTGTGCAAAAATGTCATAAAAATGGGAGAGACGAGGATCAATCAGTACAGAATAACGCACTCGGCGGCCGCTCACTGGCGCAAACACCGAATATTTGTCAATTTTTAAGCACGTTTGAAACGTTAGTTGTTTTTGCTCATTTTCTCAAGTCTGACGACGGCCTAGGGGACAAGCATGGAAAGTTAACTTAATAAAGTTTTGTACTTTTTCGAAGGGACGTATCTACCTTCAATGTTTACATATATATGTGAGAAGATAAGGCGATCTTAGGAACCATGGATTTATTTGCCTGACGTTTCGAAAGCAGACAAGCTTCCATCATCGGAGGTGTCTGCTTTCGAAACGTCAGGCAAATAAATCGCCTTCTCAGTTATATCCGGGAACGGGCATTTTCGCTTCAATCAACATATGTATGTAGATCAGAAGTGGTGTGCATATATATGTATATATGGTAGAGTGGTGCTGACAGATCGTTTTTTACGGAACTCACACGTCCCGTTGTGCCTTACGGGCTTTCTCTCGAGCCAAACCAACAACCGCACAGCGGCGCATGGTATAGGCAGAATGTTATTATCGACAAAGACAAGGGAGACTGGAATGGACATTTCTGGTTTATTAGCCGTCGTCAGCCAGTCGTACCCAACTCCGAAATGTGGAACACCTGGGACTGTATCCCGCGACCTGTCAGTTAGAAGTCCGACGCCTCTAACTACTGAGCCACGGGTTCGATGTCCTGTCGGTTGTGATCGGGAATGTACATTCTGCCTATATCATGCGCTGCTGTGTGGCTGCTGGTTGGGCTCGAGAAAGAGCCCGTAAGGCACAACGGGACGAGTGAGTTCCGTAAAAACAATCGGTGAGCACTCTTCTACCATTGCACATTCCCGATCACGACTGGCAGGGCATCGAGCCCGTGGCTCAGTGGTTAGAGGCGTTGGCTTTCTAACTAACAAGTCACGGGTTCGAGCCACAGGTGTTCTACACTTCGGGGCTGGGTATGACTGGCTGACGACGGTTAATAAGCCAGAAATAGCCATTCCAGTCTCCCTTGTCTTTGTCGATAATAACATTCTGCCTATATGTATATATAAAGAGTGAGAGAGGGGAAGCGATTCCTGGATACAACATTACATTTTTCTGAAGTTTCAAATCCACTTTACCCCTTGGCATGAATAAATGGAAACATTTCGCCTGAAATATCCTCAGCCGCACCCCCGATTTGTCATCGCAGCGGTCTTTAGGTCGGTTGTTGACCGGTATGCCTGTTGACTGCTTTATTGTTTGAATACTATTCTTCCTATAGTTGTTGTAAACTGCAGTCTCCCGATCGATCCTAGATCGTTACACAGTCGAAGTCGAAGTTGTGGGAAACGACAGCCACACTAAACGGCTTCATACATCACAAGAGGATTTGTCTTAAGGGGCCATTCTCAGAAATTCATCGGAATTGAAAAACTGACAGCAAATCACGACTAACTTAACAGTCTTGTTTGAAAACACGCATTCCTGGTGGATCTGAGATAGGAGTGGACAGTTTCTCCGACAGAACAGCAACAAAAAAATGTACATTGCAAACGGTTGTGCCTCCACCACCAACTTTATCTAGGAATCCACGGAGCTGTAGCGCCAGCAGTAGCCCCAACTCGATAACCACTCCTCTTGCTGGGTTATAGCAGATGAGGACAATTAGTGGCTTCAACCTCTTGATCCTGTTTAATCTATTTGGAAAAATCCGTCACTACGCTCAGCAACAATCTAACGCTCTTGAGGTTGAACCAGCAGGGTGTAGCCTGGGCAAGGTACAGAATATCCCCCATCGACGGCCTCTTTCAAGCCCCATGTCATTCGTCTGGTCTCCGCCCTCGTACTGGAGCCCATCAGAAACCGGGTGGAGAGAGGCCACGCAATCCTTTCTCACAACGATCAGCCTCACCGGTAACTGCTTTTCACTGCCGGGGCAAACAATTAACAAATCACCGGGTGTGTCCGGATGCTCGTTTTCGCCGACTTCTCGGGGAATTAGGACTGTTTACGAGGAGTCTTTACACCAGTGGTCTGTTATCTCCACCCTGCAAGGATGCTTAACCCACGCACACGCTAGCCAACACCCCTACCCAGCTGGGGGCGCCTGTGGTTTGTGTACGTGTGCTGACTGTGCGTCTTGGCACACCCGTTAATTTCTCACTGTTTCACAGTGCTTAAACAGTTGTACGCGGGGACGGCCTTTATTGCGGGTGAGGCGCCGGAAGTTCCGCGCGTAGTAATTTCAAAGTGCTAGATACCGCCCCCCCCCCCGCCCGGGGGTGAACAAATATCCTTTCAATCACAGACTAACTAAGTGTAGACAAGTCGTGACCCTTGTGGAGAGGGGGGGTGGGGGTGAAAGGTGTGAGTTTACGCCATCCGCGTCCTACCGTCGGCCTGCTTTGGAGCACACAGTGGACGTCGTCGGCAACGACGGTCGAACTCTCATGAAGCACGCGCCCTAGAGATCCATTTCCGATGTGCAGCAGCGGCGGTCAGATAAACCCCAGTGGCAGTAGTGGCAGTTCTGTTCCGCATGGATTAGGTGCATTCGGTCAGAGTTAATCGCCAGAAGCCCGTGGTTGAGTGCGTCGTAGAAAATTAGTTGCAGTTTTGGAGGGTTTTTAACGAAGTTTTCAGGGTTGGGTTGTGGATGCCTACCAACCCTGATAGTCGCCCAGGCCTAGACATTTGCTAGCGCGTTTGACTTGTGGGCTAGTGCAGAGCTAGTAACCTGACTGGCTGAGAGTGCTCGATCTGTGCGAGGAGAGTAGCTTTTCTGCTACACCCCCGCCTTGATGCTCACCCGAGTGCATTTTCCACGTCACGCCTGGGGGGTCCCTCTGCGCGTACGCACGCACTTTGTCCGGAATTTAGGCCCGTCTGGCGAATTGAATCACCTCGGGCTGCAACGCCCTCAGCTCGCCCGACAAGGCGCGTCAACCTACTGTCCCCGTGTGGACAGTGTCCGCTAGGATTGCTGAAAAAAATCCAGTCAATCGCAACACTAGCCCGCGACCGGGCTAGCCCTGGGCGAATATATTGCTGCTTAAGTAGCATACAGTAAGTGATCTATCTCATGAATGCTAACCGAACTTCTGAAATATATTTTACAGTAGGGAGGGTTACTTCAGTGGGATGGTAATACTACTTATCGTGCAGCATAATCCAGGATGCCAGCCATAGAATACGCTTCTTTCTGGTCGCCTGTAAGGCTCGCACTGTAAAAAATGATAGCTTCTGTATTGGGATTTTTGTTCAGTTATTTTCGATACCCTTATAACTTCAGACATATTTAGTGGAAAACTCGCACAAGAATATCCTTTACTGTGTTCATTTGGCAGAAAATCACGCCTTCAGATTTTGAACTTAACGAAGACTTGCCTATTAGTCTCAAAAAGGTTTGTACTTAAAAGATTTTCGAAGGCCGTGGAATATGCCCCCTAACATAATTATCTATGTCCGTTTATTGATGCCCCTTATGAAGTATGACGATTCGACCGTGCGCTTTGACGATGTCCACCGTGTGCTTCGCAGTAGCGTGATAGCAGCGACGGTGACTTGTGCGTGAATTATTTTATAGTAATAGTAGGCTTGCGCAGCATCTGCCGCACTCTCTCCTTCCCCCCCCACCTGGACTCGATGTCATGACCAAGTCAAGCGGAGCAGGGATGGGAGAGGCCGCATGTAACAAGCACTACGTACAGTGCGTCGTGACCGATTTCGTGGAATGTTGGGCGAAATTCTGAAATGCGTTTTCAATTAGGAAGGATTGCTTAGGTAAGGCTTGTAATATTGCTCATAATGAGACATAATCTTATACTATTTCGGACTCGCCATGATGTCGGCTTCTAAATGCACTTCTTTTTGGCCTTCTGCAGAAACCACACCCGGTAAAAATGACTACTTAAGTAGCATGCATTTTGCACATTGATTTTCGATGGTCCTATAAATTCCAATATATTTTTTTAGAAAACATGCGCAAAATATGCTTTCTTTTATTCTTTTGGTAGAAAATCACCTTATCTTTACGTTTTATACTCGAAGAAATGGTATCTTTGGTTTTAAAAAAGTTTCTAGTTATAAAACGTTTAAGACCTTGCGATGTCCATGCATACAGCTTCGCACATGCCTATTTACCGGTGTTCCTCATGAAACGTACAACATAGTCAGCATCCATTACAAAATTTAAGTGAACTACACATGGTATCTTCTTAGAGACAGATAGGAATACATGATTTTCCTTACGCGGATAACATGTACCTTGCAGACTGGAATTGCCAAATGCTAATGCAACGGTTGATCTGGCTAAAAATTATTCGCGAATTGGGAGACTTTTTCAAAACCTAAGTAATCCTTCCTAATCGGAAACTCATTTCAGAATTTTAGTCAACATTTCATGAGATCGGTCACGCACTACGTAAACCCGCATCTAGGCGTACCACCACATCCTCCGGTCCACAGTAAACATTCGACCAGGATTTTCAACAACAACAACAACAAAAGTGAATAGCGGCAGGGATCCCAATTGGCGCTGCATGCGCATGCAACCGAGCCTACCACCGTACCCGGAATGCTAGCATTTGTGCATTCTCGATAACGACTGCCAGAAACCGACCTAACCCCCGTGCTGGTCCAGTACACCTACCGCGTGGTCCGTTTTAGGGACGCTTAGGAAGTATACAAGCACAGTCCACGCGCATCGCAAAATCTCAGGAGCCGTATATATGATTTTCCCTGCACGAAATTTATGTATCATTGAGTTTGTAAACACTAAATGCAAATACAACGGCAGATCGAGTCCGGAAAAACTTCCTCGAAACCGAAGTTCACTATTTTCTTGAATACACAGTTTGTTTAAAATGTGATTTTCTACCGAATGAGTTCAGGAAAGGACATTTTTGCATGTTTTTTTTAATAAAGTGTGGTTGAGTTTACAAGGACATCGAAAATCAATGGAAAATCACGCTACTTGATTAGTCGTCCCTGTCGAGCTGCGGGAAAGAAGCTCATTTTATAGCCGGCATCTTGGCGTGACTGAAATAGCCTGGGACTACGCTACACGATAATCGGCACTACACCCTCCCCCCTTCAAGTAGCCCTTTTCAATCGAAAATGCATTTCAGAATTTCAGCTAACACTTCATGAGATAGGTCACTCACCGTACTTGACTTGTTTCTGTGCTCCCCGGAGGAGCATGCCCATGCAGCTCAATCGGTCGATAAAATTGAGGCTTTTCGTTTCACAAGAAATCGATGCACGAACTTGGGGGGAAAATTCTCCAAACACAAGCTCTTCCAGCCTCAGCTGAAAACCGCGCGGGTTAAGTCTCTCGCAACTGCAGCACTGAATCGCGAAATATGCGTCTGGACGTTTGATTTGTACGTATGCTGGAGGTATGACAAATCGGCCTCAGTGTCCATACGTTGACTTTCACACTGCCCAGGTCGTCGCCTACCCTTATTGCCTTGAACACTTACGCTGTGAGAAGGCGCCCCTGCGGTAGACCTAGGAATTCCGACAGACTTTGTGTCGCGTGTTCAATGTTAGAGCCGCCGCAACGCCTCTCAGCTTTGAAAGGTGCGAAGGTGTTGTTAAATGCTTGGAAATCAAACTTTACCTTCCGGTCAACTTTTATGTACCCCTGAAAGCACTGGTAGGACCTGGGAATAAGTGCCCCCCTAGATAGTATTACTGTGGAATGTGTGCTTATTTGATCTAGGTAGCTTGATACACATTAGCGCTAATCTTTGAGGCCCATTGCTGTTAATAGCGCCTTCTTCCTTTCCCACCCTATTGGCTTCTAGTCGGCCGAATTGATTCCCGCTACTTTTGCCGACGTCTTATGTTGAGTTTCCGAAGGGTTTCATAGTCTCCAGTTGGATTTGTACGAGTCACCGACGTGGCCGCTGGAAGACGTCCATTGTTCCCAATCCAGTGAATGACGCCTAGGCCACCGTTGTGAATTCATGCATTTCCAGCTTCGTCCTGCGCACCCGTCAAGTCGGACGTCGCAGTAATCATCTATAGTAATTTAGTTCCGGGGAGTAACTTGTTTCCGCATCCAGCCAACACTCTTTTTGACTCGAATAAAACGAGCCGATTTCTGTACAATATTGCTGTTTCAATGAAGGCCTTGTAAATCCTCTTTCTCCATAGGTTGAGGGGGCTTCCCGCAAGTAAGGTTTGACAAAATTTGGCTGCACGGTCAAGTCGTCCTATTGCTCACAATTGACACCATCCGGAAACATACGAAATTGTGGCGTCCATAAAGGACCCAGCCAAGTAACGGCTCCATTTGTTGAGTTATTGCAGATGACATCTAGTGAGTCCGACCTCTCATGGGAGCTCAAGAATATTGGCAACGGAAATCCGGAATCATAGATTAAGTTTAGTAAAATTCGTGGACGACTCAAATTCTCACAAAAGGGCGTAGGTAACGCTCCAAATATCTCAACGGTGCAACGCATTATATCTACACATATCTTTCTTTAACGAGGGGAATACATTGTTTGAACCAAAAATCCTATCAGCTACCAAGTTTGACTGACTGTCCTTACATCCTTGTTCGATCATTTGTCGTCCGATATTATCCTATTGGCATGGTGGTAACCTATATTGAACGGGAGTTTTCAGAGAGAACACATTCCCTGGAGGGCTTTCCATCAGTCAGCGGTCTTTAAGTTGTAGTCGAGTCCTATATGGGCCATGTAATTATTTTTATTTATTCCTCCTTCAGCCTGGTGACGGATGACTTCATACCCGCGGGCTGGCAGCACTCCTTTGATCTTCTCTTCGGTGCTGATTGCCTCTTTCATCGGGAGACGCACTGCGGTCTCCTGCGGACGGTGGACCATCTCCTCTCTCTCACTCCCGGATCCCTATGTCTATTCGTCGCACCGCAGCGCAACGGAAGCCTTTTCGCTTTCCGCGACCTTGTAGCTCAGAACTCAACGGCTTTGCGCCTCCAGTGCACCCGTCTCGAACCCCTAGAGGCCTTTCCCACCCTCGGTCCCGTAATGCAGCATCTCAACACGGACAGCGACCGCCTGGTCCCCCATCTCCTCCTTATATGCCGTACTTGACTATATGTGACCACTTTTCTTTTCACTCTGCCTCACATTCCGGCTGCTGCAGGACCAATATGCATTTACGTCCCCCCCCCCTTGCACCTTGTCTTTCGCGTCTGTGCATAATGATTTCTTTGCAAATACATCACTTTTACTGCGCAAAACTGGACAGTGTTTTGTATTTCGCATGCTTGGAAGTAACACAGGCCCAAACCGTTTTATTCTGCAACAGTTCTTACTGACTGGCTGACGACGGCTAATAAGCCAGAAATGGCCATTCCAGTCTCCCTTGTCTTTGTCGGCAATACCATTCTGCCTATATATCATGCGCCGCCGTGCGGCTGCTGTTTGGGCTTGAGAGGGAGAGCCCGTAAGGCTCAACGGAACGGGTGAGTTCCGTAAGAACGATCAGTGAGCGTCCCCTACCACAATTCTTATCAGTTTGCAATTCACGACTGCCGCGAATGACGCTGTCCATCGTGTGTCCCGCAGAATGTCGACGTAGGAACGGTGGCATACGTGAATTAGTTAGACTTACGCGGTATCTGCCGCACCTTCCTCCCTCACCCGCCTGCGCCCGGTGTTATGAAAGAGTCAAGAAGGTCAGAGGCGCGATCGAGCGCAGTGACTGACAGGGTGGACAAGCCCGTCCACGCGTGCACACAAACCTGGGCCGCGCACGGTAAGTCAGAATTTCACTTGAACAGGATGGCGAGGTCCACTCAGGTCCCAACTGAGTGGGACTGGCATAAAGTCAGTTGTTACGACCTGACTCTCTGTCTTGCGAGAAACAACTTACCCTGTCAGTTGACAGCCCTTCAAGTCGCGACTTTTAACGCATCGTGATAGTTTGAAGGCGCGTTAGTTGGCTTGCAGTGAGGAAGATGGTCTGAGTATTGTGTGTACGGAGATCCCAGAGTCGACCTCAATCTGTCTCTTCCCTCTCCCAAGCACCAGTCCACTGTCCGTACTGGTCAGCCGCCTGATGCGTGGGTTAGGGGCAGGTGGCCGGCGCGACGTGGGTCCGCGCCTAGGCATGCCATTTGTTGGTAGGGGACGCTCACCGATCGTTCATACGTTCATTGTATATTCCCGATCGAAAACTGACAGGGCAACGGGCTCGTGGCCGACTATGTAGAGGCGTGGACTTCTAAACTAACAGGTCGCGAGTTCGAGGCTCGGGTGTTCCACACTTCGGGCTTGGGTATGGCTGGCTGACGACGGCTAATAAGCCAGAAATGGCCATTCCAGTCTCCCTTGTCTTTGTCGGTAATACTATTCTGCCTATGCCATTTGTTAATCGATGCTCGCACTTTGTGCAACCCGGTTAACGCTCTGTAGTCTGTCCCCTTGTTAGTCCATCACATCTCCTGGGAGTACCGTGTTAACCTATCAGTCTTTCCATTCACAACTTTTGGCGCATCGTGCTAGTTTGAAGGCGCGTTAGTTGGCTTGCAGTGAGGACGATGGGCTGAGCATTGTGGGTACGGAGATCCCAGAGTCGACCTCACTCTCTCATCCCTCTCCCAGGCACCAGTCCACTGTCCGAGCCGGTTAGCCATCGGATGCGGTGATTAGACACAGTGGCTGGCAGAACTGAAACAGCCTGTTAGTACCGACAAAGACAAGTCTCCCTTGTCTTTGTCGGTAATAACACACTGCCCGTATCATGCACCGCTATGCGGCTGCTGGTTGGGCTCGAGAGGGATAGCCCATAAGGCACAACGGAAAGAGTGAGTTCCGTAAGAACGATCGGTGAGCGCCCCTTACCACTGAAACAGCCTGTCTGCGCGTGCCGCGTACGACCTGCCCCCACCTACACACCACACAACTCAGCGCAGCCAACTGTGTTACTGTGGATCGCAGACTACTTTAAACGCCGACGTCTTGAATGCGCATTGAGGCCATAGGCTTACCTACCGCGCACGATTGATCGGAATTTCACGTGGACAGAACGGCGAAGGCTCAGGTCCCAACTGAGTGGGAGTGTCATAAAGGCAGCATTAGGGGAGGGAGCCGCTGCGGCCTGACTCCCTGTCCTGAGAGAACCGACTTACCCTGTCAGTTGACAGCCCTTCAATTCTCGACTTTTAACGCATCTTGATAGTTTGAAAGCGCGTTGGATTGTTTGTAGTGAGAAATGGCGTCCACACAGTCGGCCCCATTCTCACTTTCCTCTCCCAAACACCGGTAAACTGTCCGAGCCGGTTAGCCAGTAACTGGACACAGTGGCTGACAGAGCTAAGCCCGTGAGCGGGCAACACTCACTATGTCGCAATACCACGATGGCTTGCGACCTTTTCAAATAAGGTACTGTCGTTACATGTACTGACAGTGCATTTTATTCAGGTCGACCAATAAGCAGGCCGCGTCTTCCCAGGCTTCTTGTCGGCCCTCTGTCCGGTAGTTTGGAGAACTACAGGGTATTTCAAAACGACGCGACTCTTCACAAGGATGTCTCTTTATCAGCTGTTTCTTTAAGAACATCCACACTTTTATAATGTTCTGAAATCCAGAGTGAACTGTATTGTACCAAATTTTGGTAGTTTTGCGAATGGACCCAACGCAGATAGCTGGCAAACTTTCTCATCAAAATTCAATATACTGAGTGCCGTTTTTCGTCGCGCCAAAGGTAATAGTTCATTTGCATCAACGGCTTGCTGCCCGTGCGTGTTTTGGTATTGTTGTACACGTCAAATAACCTAGAACGGTCCGGTTAGCTCATTTACAATGGTTCTGTGGAAAATCATACTTTCCAGACATCTGGGACCAGGTCTTTTTGCATTCGGTAATGTTTCTTGGATGGGAAACAGAGATAGCTAATATTACTCCAAGCGATATATATATATATCCGGTCGACACTTTCAAATGCTGTCCGGCCTCTTGGTTGAATTCATGCAGTTTGCCACGAATTTTCGGGTTTGATTTCATTCTTGGTGCTTTTGCTCCAGCATAGGCCGCCTTTGGACTTACGAGTAGCTTTTCCTGAAACCCATTCTTTGCAAAGGGCGTTTCTAGCCTGTGATGGAATACTTTGATATTGAATTCTCAGCAGCCCGAGTCTCCAACTTTTGTCTCCTGTTACCCTCTTTTTCAGCCCTTGCAGAATTTCTCATGGCCACGCAGGTCTCACCAAAGATCTTAAAGATGTCCTGGGGCTCAATCGAGGTCGAAAAAATGACCGAAGACGGGAAAGTCGTTCCCGGCGAGTCTCTCAAATATCGCGACCTGAAGATTTGGCCTGGTGGAAGCCGCAACTGGGATTGGAATGAATTCGGTGTGTCTCCGTTGCACTCTTACTTGCTAAACGGACCTTAAAGTTGGGGCACGAACCGAGCCTACTGAAAACATGTTAGTAGTTGCATTTGTTGCTGTCTTTTTAGGAACCTCGCACTTCCAAGGAATTACGGCTGGAGATGTGGCGGAGCTGCGAGAGAAGCAAGTGGATACAATCATTCTGAGTCGTGGACAATTCGGTTTCCTTGCCGTCCCACAGACTTTAGTGGATGAACTACAGAAGGCCGGCTACACGGTGGTTGTAGAGAGGAGCTCTCAGGCAATGGCCACCTACAATACCTTAGTGGACCAAGGAAAAGCTGTTGCCGGTCTCATTCATACAACTTGTTGATTCCTATGCAAGCAGACGTTCACAATTTCTTGCTCTCATGCCTCGTCTCTTCTGCTTACTGTGTTGACGCTTATTTCCACCCACGCGTTATTTCCTTTCCATGTTAGTCACCCTTAAGAACATGCCCACTGATTTAGATTTCTTCTGTATTTTTGCCTGCTGGCCACTGCACATGTCGTCGGGTTGCAAGTTTCGAAGACTTAATCTATAGAACGAGGTCACTCTGTGGGAGGCTTTCACGTGTTTCTACTACGGGTCTGATCTAGGCTTCCAAAATGTTGCGATTCTTTGTTTTCCCAAAACTCGCTCTGAGAGGCCATTGTCTCCTTCACATCGATTAAGATGTGGATCATACCAGATGTATTGTTTCTCCCGACTAAGTGCTGATGCGACTACCATTTGCGACAGTCGATTGGGAAGGCCATCGAGGTTATCAGAGTGTCAGTAGCCTTCTGGATGTCCAACTGAGAGCGTTGTCCGTTTGACCGCATTTTTCCTGTGTACACAAACTCTTTGTATACTCTTGTAGGACATCCCCGTTACTACTCCTCCAAATGGTAGCTCCTATATATATTAAGGGACAGGAAATCTGGAAGATGTTCGTATCAGACATCTTAAGGTGTTCCTGTAAAGTAGACGTTAGATATTTTCCAGATCCGTGCACAGTTCAGTTGGAGCGACTATCTTCGAGTGATAAGGAGACTGACGTTAGGACCATCCGTCTAGCATTCCTGACTTCTTGTAAATGTTCTCACAACATATTCGCCGTTCCATGAAATAAGAACCATTGTCAGAAAGAATACCATCTCCTGAAGTTAGGTCAGGTGGGGGAAGTTCCTGTTACTTAGGATATTTTGAGTACCGGCTGCTAGAGGAGATGCTTTCGGGTCTTTGCTGAGATGATTAATGTTCTGTTCGTCTCAAGACAAAAGATGGGAGTTTAATAACTGCGATGCGATGTAGTTGCTTGACAACAAAACCAAGACAGAGGAAGGGGGGGACACTCCGCCCCACTTTGCAAGTAGAATCATCTGAAGTTGACCTAGTACAGTGCTACTTTCGACTGAACTCATTTCTCCCACCCGAGAGATCTGCAATATTGAAGGTTAGGCGGGAGTGGCGTTAACCTGTATATTCGAACTGCAGGCTTGGAAAAGGTTGATTCGACACATGCCACTCGGATATGACTTCTGTCTTCAACGTCATGCGCGAATGGAAAAAGGCTATTCAGGTCTGTTTTTTTTTACAGTAGTATGGTAGTATATTTTAGCGTAGTAGACAATGCCCTTGATGACCCTATTGAAAACGGTACATGGGATATAAACGTTAAGTGCAAGTCATACTAACATTTTGCCAGTAATATATTAGTCTACGGAAGGAGTTTTTACAGGCCTGGACTGCGAAGGGTGCGGCAGGCAGTCTTTTCCATCTACATATGAAATCTTATGTGCCATTATATAAAATCAGCATAAAGTACAGTCATTTGCGTAGTTTGCGAGTGCACATCTCATGAAACGTCAGGGATGCGTTACATAGGGATGAAATCAGGAAATAAGATTTATGGCTGACCGCAGATAGTCCTGCAGTGAGAGTCGTCGTTTATCAAAGATCAAACGATTCAGCTGCCTTTTGAATACAGACATTGTATCAAATGTCACTACTGCACTTGGGAGTGAGTTCCACGGTCGAACAACACGCTGGCTGAAAGAAAACTTCCGATGGTGTAGGCATGTACGCTTCCGCTTGACTTTGCACGGATGATCGCGCGGGCGACGCATGGTCGTGAATTCAAAGAAGTCTTCAGATGTGAGCGAACATTTATGCCTGTGGATTATGTGGAATGTCCAAAACAGATCACACCTCATTCGTCTATAGGATAGGGGGAACAAATTTAGCTGGATCAGCCTTTCTGTGTATGACAGATTCCGGAGATCGTACACCAGTTTTGTGGCCCGTCGTTGCACCTGCTCTATGACATCACTTTCTTTCTTCATCCAGGACATCCAGGATGGTATTCCTTATTCCAAATGTGGTCTGACGAACGTGCCGAATATCTGTGAGAAGCGTTTTGGAGGAAAGATTGTGGAGGCACGCCTAATCCAGTGCATGATACTGGTTGCCTTTTGGACGACTCTGTTGCAGTGCTCGGAGGGCAGCCAGTTCAAACTTGTTTAGACACCTTGGTCTTTGTGCGTGCCCACTTCTTTTAGTTGAACCACATTTATGGTGTACTGGTGTTTTGGGAAGCGCCTCCGACCAGATTCTAGGCGTAAGACTACATATCTGGATGCATTAAACGCTAGAAGCCACTTGCTAGACCATGCAACCAACTGATTAACATCTTCTTGTAGTTTCTGCTAGTCGTCAACACAGCTGATTGTTTTCCAGATCTTTATATCATCTGCAAACATGACTCCATCTCATCCAAGGTCTGCAGGACAGTCATTTATATAGATGAGGAAGAGGAGAGGACCCAAGACTGAACCCGCGGAACGCCGCTTTTTACTGGGCACCCACTCGGATGCAGTGGTGCCAACAATCACTCTTTGGAGCCTCTATGACGGAAAACGTTTAATCCACTTGAAAGTGTTGCCCTGTATTCCACACTCCAAAATCTTCTGTAGGAGCCCTCCATGAGGAACGCTATCAAACGCCTTCTTAAAGTCAAAGAAGATGACACCCACTGGGCGGCCCTGCTCTATGGCCCTTGTCCATTTTTCCTGCGAGTAAAGACTGCTTGTAAGGCATGAGTAACCGCGACGAAATCCGCGTTAAACAGCACACAATAGACTCCCGTGCTCCATATATGGCATCAAATGTCCTTTAATAAGTCGTTCCATGACTTTGCACGAAATGCAGTTTAAACGAATAGGACGGTAATTTTCAGGCTCCAGTCTGGTTCCTTCTTTATAGATTGGATAAATATGGGCTGTTTTCCATTCGCCCGACAGTTCACCTTCTTCCGTGGACTTCTGGAATACAATGGACACCGGCTCACATAGCATACCTCCAAACTCTCGAAGGGCATGTAGATGAATTCTATCTGGAACAGATGATTTGACAGGCTTCAGCCGGCGTATTTCGGTCCTTATCAACATGGGTGAGAATCAAAGGCTGGTAACAAGTAAATATTTTGTGATCTAGCGTCTATTAGATTAACAATGCTAGAAGGGAGCTTACCGATCGCGTCACGTGCCTCACTCGTCTCATTCTGCCCTAGGGCTCTTTCTCGAGCCCCGCCATCAGCTGCACAGCGCGCGTAATATGGGCAGAATAACATTGTCGACAGAGAGTAGGGTGATTGTGATGGCCGATTCTGACTTGTTAGCCGTCATCTTCTAATATTACGCGCCGTTGTGCCACTGCTGCTGGGCTCGAGAGAGAGGGAGCCCTGAGGCACAAGGGGACGAGCGAGTCAATAAACTGAACTGAACTGAACTTGCCTAGATAATAAACAATTGGTTCGAACAACCAGGCGAAATCCACAGCATGTCTTCGATAGCCAAACCCTGACAAAACAAAAGTTGCGCAATGTCTGAGGGGACTGTTAAGGTAGAGGCACAAAAGGTTATGGGAACCGATGGTCAGGCATTATGATCGACCTGACAGATGATTTTGTTGCTGTAAAAGATAAGTCATTGAAAGAGAGGGTCCATCTTCTGATAATGATGACAGTGGTGGTACCACTGGGGACGAATGATAAAGAGATAGCCACCTTGCTCAACAAATACTTTTAAGTTACTAAACAGATGCAAATTTACTGATTACGAACACACCAAAGTATTTATTCAAAATCTTATCGAAATCGATTTTGACGAAGACACATTCGAAGTGGCTAGTAAAGAACTTCAAAAACTCGGTCTCCTACGGAGCGACGCTTAAAACCCCCTGCATACTTAGGCACATAATATATGCTTCATCTATTTTCCATAAACAGTTTTGTACGCTTCTTGTCAGATAAATTCCATCAAATATGAAAGTATGGGGGTGGCGCGGAACTCGATACACTATCGTTGTCGTCCAATGTCTACGCGCGGCAGGGAACCACAAAGTCGCAGACTAATCTCACCTACCAAACCAGCACTTTAGTAGACATTTAGTAGGCCACTGGGTGACATACAGCCTTTCGGTGCGGACAATGCAGGAGGGCCTTCCACAATGGCGTCCAGAGCTTTACCATTGGGGAAGAGCAAATCGGACGAAGCCACAACCCTTAAGAACGACACCTCGGACAGAAGACTTCATAAGCTGATGTATGCACAGTGGTCGTCAAAGTAGATTTATTTCCTGCCATCCACGCCCGTCTTCTGTTCCTTGCAACAATTGGCGACCAAAAAAATGGGTTATTTAACAGAAAGTACTCCAAGATTTCACTCGTTTTTAAATACCGAGAACGACTGCCTACGGAAAGCTGTGGGCATTCTAAAACATCGGTTATATCTAGAGCCTTGTAGCAGCCGCTCCAGTTCTCCTTTTCTCCGGCTCCGTTTTGTCGGTCGATGGCCGCGACAATCGTTGCCAGGCCGCTGACAAACAACCACCCCCGCTGATTATAACTGGGCCCCCCTCCTGTCCAGCTGCAGGGACCCCC